CATTTGAAGGATGTCGCTCCTGATGTGCTGAAGGTCGTGCCAGCACTCATTGCCCAAATTCCAGAGAAGGCTGATCAGATGATGCATCAAGCGTTGTCCTACTGTTTGTGGGCAACAGCTCAATTGAAGGATGACGCTCCTGATGTGTTGAACATCGTGGCAGCTCTGGCCGCCAAAATTTCGGGCAAGGTTGGTGAGATGGATCCTCAAGCATTGTCCCTCTGTTTGTGGGCATCAGCACATTTGAAGTCGCTCCTGATGTGCTGAATGTTGTGCCACCATTGGCTGCCCAGATTCCAGGCAAAGCTGGCTCAATGAATTCATTAGACGTATCTCAGTGCAGTTGCCATGGAATATCTGAAGGATGTAGCACCCGAAGTGCTGAAGATCGCCGACTCGCTGGCACCAAAGACCACTCGTAAGGCCAACCGCACCCGCTCTAATGTCGGATGAGAAGGTTGCAGCTGCAGCAGTAGCTGGACATTAGGTTCTGTCAGCTAAGTTCTTCGGGGAAGATCCAAAGCAGGTCCTTCGGGTTTTGCTAGTATATATCGTCAAGGCTGAGTTTGGTGCATGGACCAGAGACAGCTTTCTGGCACCATCTTGAGAAGAGTGCTCGGTGGCCAAATTGATGCACCACGGGAGGTCCGAGTGCAGGAGCAGCTTCTGGTTTCTACATTTTAGACCAGCGTGGGACGATGGAAAAAGAACAGCTACCCTATGATGCGTCAAGCTGCAAGGCTCCAAAGCCATGTTTGTTGTTTACATGCTTTTGGATTCTCTAGCCTCATTTCAGTGAGCTGAAGCTGAGAGGGGCGGTTTGTCACCTCTTCTCTAGATGAACACATGGCACCACGACAAGGGTACCCCGCTTTTGCTTGCAGGAGAGTGATGCTAAGAAGAAGCACAGCAAGAAGGTCGCGAAGAAACTGTGCGGCAAATTGACGATCTATACTGTACTATACTATTACTCTAGAAGTGAAGCCCCATTTGTTGCATGCCATGCTTTGGGCTACACATCATTCAGACCATGACACTTAATAGAATTCCAAGGTCTACACCGGTCTATACCTATGCTTCACAGCATGTAAATGTTGAAAGCCTCTTGCAGTTTTGCCACCCCCACCCCGGGCAATTTGTGCACCACGAGGGATGCATTTACCCTTTGATATCCGCTTCCCAGATGCATCATGTCCATGTTCCGTGCGGAAGAGCGGAGTAAGCACATCCATCAAAACGTGTTTATGATATTTTATGATCATCATTGAGCATGCCGCAGTTTGTGCAGCAACTTTCTTTGGTGCAAGCAAGGCGCAAATGCAAGCCCCATTGAGATCATAGTGTCAGTAGACAACACAAAAAGGAAATGCCTTCGTGATGCGCTTGCCAAGGAAGAAAGAGAGCGACTCGTCTGATGAAAGCTCTGAGGATAAGAAGAAAAAGAAGGCCAGCGGCATTGTTTTACAATCGCTTATATTCATTTCTGATACCGACGGATGCGAGAGCTTCTGTAGGCTACCAAAAAAGAACAATTAACATAAGATAATCACAGCCCATTTCTTGTTGATGGAGAGAATGACCTGCTGCAGATCCATCCATCATAAGCATCATATAGCCCAAACTCACTGGCCAATGCGGCCGAAGCCGACAGGCGAAGGAAACTGAGAAGAAGAAGAAAAAGAAGAGGAGCTCTAGCTGGGGACTTAGGAACTCCAGCTGTACTGTTTCTATCAGGATGCGTTGCTTGATGGTGCATTGGCTATCCATGTGATGATTGTCCACGGGGTCTCCTTGTTTGACGGCCGCCGTGCCTTCAGCAGTGACGCCTCCGACGCCAGTTTTAACTCCCTTTTTGGAACTGCAGAGTCGCAAGCCAACCATACAAATCCACAACACACACGCAAATTTACTGCACAGCTGTTGACCCCACAACAGCCGCACCGCAAGCTCAGCTCAGCTCGCGTTTTGCGCCGCATTGGGAGAATAAAATCACATAAAGGACCCAGTTCTACCAAGAGAGGTTGAGAGACCATATAATTAGGACCCTGTAGGGTCCATATGGGATGGGCGACAAAGGGCTGTTCAACCTCTCTTGGTAGGACCCGGGGTGAGATCTGTCCACTTCGGTCGCCGACCTCAGGCTCCTCCAGCCGAAGTCGGAAGAAGCACCGCTCGCGCAGCGGCGGGTGTCCTCGGTGGACGCTCCGGAATTGATCCGCGGGAAGGAATGGGTGGATGGTAGAAGTAGACGGTTGATGGATTTGTTGGATGTAAATCCACAGGTGGCGGGTGGTTTTCAATTGTGTACCCTCCTTCATGGAAGTGGACAATGGCTTGTTAGTTGAAGAAAATAGTTGTCCAAGGGGCCAGGTTCCCCTTCCATTTTGTTGGATGGAGGGTAGCAACACATAGCAAAACAATAAATTCAAGCCCAGGTGTACTAGCTTGCGGGTAAGGATTATTGACTGTTTTCAAGCGCTGGCGCCTTAGTACGTTGCTGCATCCTGCAGTTGAGGACCCCAATTCCTCCCCCTTTTTTGCACATGATTGGTCGTGATATCCGTGATGACGTTTTGCTTAAAACCAGCTTGTCCAAGAACGGACGGGCAGGAACGACTGAACCATGCACCACTGTCGAAGCCAGCTACTTGTTTGGGTTGGATGCTGGGTGGGTTAAGGTGTAGTTCTTCCTCGTTTTCGGAAGCAGTTCGGTCGGCTAAAGGCAGAGATCCCATGATCGGTCCAAAGTCGTACGCGCCCGGAGCCTGCTGGGCGCCCATGGCCTTGGACGTCATGAAAACCAATCGACGCGGCGAGCGCTCAGCTCACCGTGATGGCTTGGCCGCGCCCCATGGCTTGCTGGCTGTCAAGTGTCAAGAGGTATCATGTATAAAGGACATGGAAGCGTGGGACAATTCATGGGATCATCGAAGGAAGCAACATGAACAGGCATCCACGCCCTCAAGCGAGGATATTGATTGGAGGTCCCCCTGAGACCCAACGTTTGGGCGGGGTTCTTTTTAGCACGCAGCACGCATGCAAAGTGAGGATAGATGGCAGAAAGTGAGGATAGATGCCAAATGGTGGAAACTGTGAGCTCCAAGCACACGTTGCCAATGTCCAATGACATGAACCATACACCTTTTACACCGCTCCTTTGGTACCAGCCAAACTGCTCAAACCAAAGGCATTAACCACCTATATATCACCTACACAACCACTTAAAACGTCTTAAAAAAACAAGATGTCAGGAGGAGATCAAGCACCCAGAACCAGACCCACCCATTTTCCCAGACCCATCCTTTTGAGCCATGCGCTTGTGGGCTTCTTTGGCCACTGCTGCGGGAATCCTCATCAAGGCCGCCAGGGCGACCGGACGAAGTCAGGGCCCCCGCTTCCTTTGGGGGAAATGAGATGAAAGGCGTTTTTGGTCATAGCCCTCATGTTCCCAGGAATTTGTCGAGGTATTTTTTAACTACATAAGCCAACAAGTCTCGGTCAATTTGCCGCCCTTTGCTGAGATTTTCGTAGCAAGATGAGGCAAAGCAACAAGTCTCCTGGTCTTAGGTGCACATACCCCATTTGCTTATTTGCTTTTCACATCTCTTGACCACGGTGCTTTTCCACCCGTTGCTGGCCAAGAGGGAGGAGGGGATCATGGACCGAGGCCACTGACGTCCACTGACCAACTTCATGCCATGAGCAGGCCCAAAAATATTTCTTGGTCAAAACTCACATGAAAACCCTATATCGCATTATATCGCTATATATATATATTGTGTGTTGAATCTAGGAACTCTTGCTGAATAGTTACTGCTGGATTGGACTTGGGGCTGCAACGAACCATCGGTTGTAAGCCATGTTCCCATTCTTGTTGGGGGCTGAAGTCAGGGACCAGTGGAGTGAATTGGCACCAGATGCAGCAGTAGTGAGTGGTGACCCCCATCCCCAATTATTCCAAGGTCATTGCTGCAGTTGCGTGCGGTCGACGTCGTAGCGAGATCAGCTCTTAGCCTGGCTGGTTCGAGAGCCATGATGAGACATACCGTATCATGGTCGTGTTTCTTTTCTCTCTCTCTTGGTGAAAAACGCGTGGAAGAACTAGCTGTTGCTCAGAAGGGTGCGATTGAGGCTCGCAGGCGGGCATCCATATTATCCGCAGTAGCTACAGGGAGCCAGGTCCACTCGGTGGTTGCTCCGACAGCGTCAGGCCCAAATCCTGGGACACCCACTTCTCAAATAGAGAACACCCACTTCACAATGGAATTGCTTCATGTCCTTTGATCATCCGAATGCCATCTCCAGGACCTGGAAGACCCCCCGGCCGGGCCCACTCATGAGGCGAGGGCGATGAGTGAGGGAGAAGAGGGGGCCTAAGAGGGGTTGGTGGCCACTCCAGGTGGATGCCATTTGCCAAAACGTAGTTTGGCGTAGTGGATCTTTTTCTTTTTTATGGCGACATGCTTTTGGCACTAAGCTTTCAACTGTTCAGATTGTCTAGAGGTAGAACACCTGCGTTCTATTTTGGTAGCGGATTTCTTCACACCAAAGTGGTTGGCCTTCTTGTTTAGCTTGACTACTGTATAGCATAATATAGCAACCCCAGCTGAAACCATGGAAATTCCCAGCAGAACCACGGCCGGCATGCGCACGCTTGTTTGCAGAATGGCACCCCTGTGCCAACCCCCGAGGTCAATCAGCTTTCGTACGTCCCAAATGTCCACCATCGAACATCCCAAGTGAGACGGACCATTCAAGAGTGCGGCTCCCCAATGTATCCCTTTCACCATCAGTGCGATGGGCAGGATTGCTTACACCCCGCGAATGAGATCATCCGTGAGAACTGTCGCCCTGGTAGTCCCGCCACTGAGTGGGACATCAACGCTGCTGGCAGCAGCCTGACTCTTGGGCCAACATAGACACACAGATTCCGGCTAGGGGTTGTAGCATCGTCCGCGCTCAACTGCACCGTGGTGGGTGGTTCCACACATTGCTGGTCGACCTGCACCCCCCCCACCGAAAAGAAGCAAAGACAACACAACTGCTGACGGACTCCCTGATGGCTTCAGTACCCGCAGTGATGATTGGGATGCGGGAACGCGGATGTTGCCCGCGAGCATCCCATAATTGGGGATATCCAGCACGGAGATTGTCAGAGCACTTCTTTGGAGTTTGACCAAGACCTAGGTGCATTTATTGTCAATGCCACCAGATGCTTGCCGTTTCTTTCCTCCCTCCTCATCCTATATGCTGTTAGGATCTGTTTGGATGGTATATGACTATCCTGCAGATCCACAAGTTTCTCCCACTCACACCACCTCCCATTTTGGTCTCTCCGGCCTTCCCCGGACGGCGGTTGGCCCGTGGCCGGCTCCCAGGATCCAGGGCTTCGCCACGCAGGCGAGCTACGCGCTGGGTGAGGAGGTGATCTTCAAGGTGAAGACCAGCTCCAGCGCCTCGGGCGACGGTTGACAGGGGCGATCGAGGGAGGAGCGATCGAGTGATGGGGGGAAGGATGGGGGGGCAAGGAAGGATGGAAGGAAGGAAGGAAGGAAGGAAGGAAGCGTGACACTCAAGAGCCATCGGAAGAGATTGGGATCGATGGGGTTTTACGTTTGGGGGAAGGAAATGGTTGGAAGGCTGGGTTCAGGAGCAGCTCCAGTAGCTCAGGGTCAGGCGCGATGACGTTCGATCGGCTGGGAGTCGGCTGGAGGTGCGGAGCTGGACGGTGGGAGGGTGAGGGTGGATGCAATGATTTTCCGGCAAACGGAATGGGTGGGAAGGGGGAAAGAACTGTTGGTTGGTATATAGAGGAATCTGAAAGCAACCTGACTGGGTTCTTTTTCATATTGATGAGCCTGCTTGTTGGTGTACAGTGTATGTTTGTGACAGATGACAGATTTGATCAGATCTGCAGTCTGGATGTTCATCAGACTTGGCTCAATCGGCCAGGGTTGCCCCATGATTTGAAACCAATGTCTATATTGCAACGGCACACTTCACGGGGTCATTGCCCTTGATTTCCTCTAGCCCCAGCCATTTTCCTCACGACTCAGATCATTCTTTTGAAGATTCACATGTCGCAACCTGAACATTTTGAGGCGCGGCACATTGCGGGACGATGTTATCAACATGGCCAAATCAGAACTTAGGGGAAGACATAGCTTAGCGAAACACACACAAAACACGAGGCAAAGAACACAAAGCACAATGAAGCAGCACTGTTTTGTACTATAATTCTGTGCCCTCCTGTGGGAATGCTTGGGAGCCATGTCTACCTCATGCCTCAAAGGCTTTTGAAGCCAAAACACCTATGGCAGCGCTCAAGGGCCAGAAGAGGGGCCGCTGGTTCCGGATGGTGCCCTGCTTCGTGCTTCCCATTTGGGCTTCCTGCTTCCCATCGCACCTCAGCTACGTCACAAAACGTGCCCTTGGTGCCTCCCCACGTGCTCCGTTTCCAGAGACAAAGCGGTGGACCACTAGCATGCTGGCGCAGGGGAGGAGCAGCGGCTCGCTGCCGTGTAAGACGAGGGACTCCAAGGCGTCAGCTGGGAGGTCTGGGAGGTCAAGCGGCTCATCTGCAGCAGGAGGTGTGGTGGCGGCAAAGATGTTGACATCGAAAATCAAGAAGGCCCAGACAGCTGCAGAGTTGCTGGGAGTGCTGGATGAGGCGGTGTACTTGCCCGAATTCAACTACTTCCACGTGTCATCGGCCTATCACAGTTTGGCCAAGTTTCATCGGAAGGGGGTCTTGCAAGGACTTCGTGACGACCGCTTAGTATTTTCCAAGCTGCATATACGAGCCAAGAGCACGATCACGTCGAAGCAGATCAACCCACAGGCTTGCGCCAACGTGTTATGGGCGGTTGCAGTGCTGTTTGGGGCAATTCCAGCCATGACTCAGTTGCTACAACCGTTGATCAAAGTTTTGCTGGAGACAGCATCCGGCATGAATGCACAGGGGTTGGCCAACTGCTTGTGGGCATCGGCAAAGTTGAAGGATGACGCTCCTGACGTGCTGAACGTTGTGCCAGCACTCATTGCCCAAATTCCAGGCAAGGCGAGCGACATGAAGCCTCAAGAATTGTCCAACTGTTTGTGGGCAGCAGTAAAGTTGAAGGATGTCGCTAC